TCGAAGGAACCAGCCGAGGGCAATTAATCGACCACGAAATTAATATTAGCGTTGGCTGGCAGGTGGATAATCGCTCCTTTGATACAGGCGTTGGGTACGTTTAATGGCATAGTATAAGTGTTCGACGAATGTGCTTGCTCGTGACTGCTTGGTCAACTGTTAGGCGATGTTTGATAGCTGGACTATCGCTTTGGGATATGCATGTGTGCATGAATGGAAATATGCCTGGTGTCAGTGGACGCCGTGAGCTAGGAACGTGAGTTTATCTATTAGGTTAGGTAATGTTAGGGCGACAGGTACCGACGAAACGAATTTTGAAAAGAGACGAAAGAACACGAAATGGGAGAATTTACAAGCGTGACGAAGACGGAGAGTGGGAAGAGGAAATTTGAAAATTTAGCCACGAGGAAGTTCGCGAAAGCTTGGCGAATTAATGACGCGCCGTGCAGCTTGAAATCGAGGCTTCGTCGATAATGGAACGCGAGGGGTAGCATCATTAACCCGGTACCGTCGTGAGGATCCGCAACCGATGAAATATCGATAAAAAGCGAATTCGTGCCGATCGTGGAGATTGCGGAGGAACGGAGTGAGAAAAGATTCGCGACGGGGTTTCGCTCCGGCCAAATTGAAATTCTCGTGGCCGCTGCGGGATTACAAGTGTCCCCGCTTCGGTTTCGATGCAACCTCCGACCCATTGCTTCCTTTGCAACCCCAACGGAACCCAATTTAAATATGAAAACATTCCGTTCGCGACAGACGTGTATTCTTGTACTCCGTGGGCGACGATTTTAAATGGACACGCTGTATGTGTGAATTGCTGTCGAGATGGCTTTCAAACTGTCGATAAAAATGGCGGCAAGTCTTTGTTAAGGGACGAATAGAAATGGAAATATAACGCTTTAATAATTACAGCTGTGGAAATATTTTTAAATATTTTTGGTAAATAATTCATTCAAAAATTATGCTACACCACTTTTAGCGGTATAATGAATTTTTTTTTAAATTATCGACAAAAAGGGCGACATGTCTTTGTTAATGGACGAATAAAAATGGAAATATAACGCTTTAATAATTAGCGTTGTGAAAATATTTTTAAATATTTTTGGTAAATAATTAATTCAAGAATTATGCAGTACTATTTTTAGCAGGATATTGGATTTTTCTAATTATCGGCAAAAATGGCGACAAGTCTTTGTTAATGGATAAATAAAAATGGAAATATAACGCTTTAATAATTAGCGTTGTGAAAATATTTTTAAATATTTTTGGTAAATATTTAATTCAAAAATTATGCAGTACCATTTTTAGCAGGATATTGAATTTTTTAAATTATTAACAAAAGTGAAAGTGCAACGTGACATGGGACGTCGATTATGCGAACCAATCTTGACACATAATCGTTATAATGGAAGAATTATATTTTGCTAATGATTAAATTATACTGATCGTCCATATTGATGGATATTAAACGAAAATAGCAATTTTTCTTAGAAATTTAACAATTTTCTCTAGTTCATCCCTGATTCGGATAAAGGGGGTTCCACAGTATTAATAATTACGCATGTGTGTCATAAAAATATTTCTAAATATTTAAGATAAACAACTGTATGGTAAATAATTTATCACTGATGCATTTTTCCATTTTTGACACCATGTATGTTTTCATTTAAGCTCTAAATAATAAGTATAACACGTTGACAAGCACATTTTACAAAATATGCATAAAATAATTTGAAAAATGAGAATACTCATGGTTCCTAATATTTTATTAAAATCACTCCACTCGATTCCCATATAAAATTTAAATTTCCTCTAATTTTATGCCATTTTTAGGTATTCATGGATATTACTTTTAATTGAAAATTCGAGCTGCATCGAACGGTAATGAATTAATTAACTAGGCCACGGCACGTTGACGTTCGTAAGCATAAAACACGAGGACTTTGTAGTTACGTTGATTATTTAATTACGTAAACGACTGCCATCTGCAAAGACGTAGCTCGTGTCAGAAAATTTCAAAAAAGTCCCCGACGTTAATTAATTATTAATCGAAAAGCAACAGGATATACAATCTTCATAAAAATGCCCGTGCTATGATCTCTCTCAAAATTCATTTTCCTTTCCCTGTGCTTTCGTTGCATTGATGCCGAATTTATTCGCTGCCGTTTAATTACACCGTCGATAATATCGGACATCTACTTTGTCGTCTAATTATCCCTTTTATCCAGGAAAATAAAAATCCCAATGGAATTTCACCTCTCGTTTGAACCAATATTTGTATCTAACATACACGAGTTTATATTTTAATACCTATATTAATTTAATTAAAAGTAAAATATAGATCATGAACAAATAAATAAATATTGCTTTAAAATTTAGTAATAATAACAATAGATCAGTGACACTCAATTAGGTTATGTGCGATTACACTAATATTAATTTACACAACTGACACTGGAAGTAATATCCTTTTAAAATTAAGATAAAATCGATCATTGACACACAGTTAGGTTATGTTCGAAGATTAGACTTCTAAGAGATTAAAAATTAGAAGAGATTAGAAATAAAGGATTAAAATAACCAGAATAACCAAGAAAAGGATAAAACTTTTGTATTCAAAAGTAAATTCTTTAATCTACTCCATCAAAATTCGATTTTACTTGGAAGTAAATTTACTCCACGAAGGTATTCGCAAACTATTCATAACCTACTCGAAAATGTGCAAACTTTTCTCAGAGCAGTAAAATCTTCGATTCCATTTGTTCGATACTCGAGCAAACTCGCGAGACACTCGTGCCCATCGCTAGCGCGCAGATTTGCGAATTTCTGACCGAAACTTCTCAATTACCAACGATACTCTATTCCACGACTAGGGCACGTCGTTTTCAGCTCTGTAGTCCAACTTTATCCGAGTTTCCGCGTGGATGGAAATTCCGCGATCGTGGCAAATTCGATGCGAACGCAACCCGAGGAAATTTCGCGCCAAGTTTCCCGCAGCATCGGCTCGTGGGAGCCGAAAATTCGGCGGGGTCCCTTCCATTTTTCGCGGTCGCGACAGAGACATTAGGACACCCTCGTTAATTACACCTCCGCCTCGCTTCTGGTAATTAAGTTCGGAGAAACGCGATGTAATTTTATCACGAGTTAGCATCATGACAGTTTTGTTTCGTACGTAGATTCCGCTGCGCCAGAAAATTCGCGCAATTGCAATTTATTTTATCGCTGCCAGTCTAATTGCAGTTAATGGCGCTTTCCACTGCGATTCCGACAGATTCCCTCTTCCGTTTCTGTCAATATTGCATGCATGCACAGTGATTGGACAATATTTTACCCTTTTTGAAAATCAGAATGTGGATAATTGGCCGACTTGCCTGTCAAATCGATTAATTCCGCGAAAAACAAAAATTTATCTCAGATATAAGGAATTTAATATTAACCTCTTAGGCACGATGCGCCATTATAGTGGCGTTCGCGGCTGCCATTTTCCTGAACGAGTAGTGGCTCACTCTAGTGGCGCCCTCGCTCACCGTTTGAATTAAACGATCGTTTTCATATGTTTCGTTTCACACTTTTCTTGCCTTCGCGACGTTTTATAACAGTGTTAACAATATACAGACAGAATATACAATCTTTATTTTTGATACGCTAGTATATAGTCAAGTATGAATTGGTGCTTTTCATTTAAGTAAATATATCATTTGCTTTTAACCCTTTGCACTTGACGATTTTTTGGTTAAAAAAGAGTAGAAAATCAAGAATTCTCTATTAAAAAACTGACTATACTTTTTTCAGCAGTAAATAAAGAATTTTATAATAAAAATAATTTTATAATAAAAGAATTGTAGAATTACTTGATTTCGATGCTTTGCACACTGTTACATTACATTAAATTTGATATATTAATTAATATCGATCTTCCAAATTTTATGAAATGGTGACTGAGGGTTACCTCTCGAGTGCAAAGGGTTAATATACCAGATGAACTTTTTAACACGGCAATTAATATCCCTATAACTTTTTAGAACAGCATTGTCCTTCACACGTTGCAGTGATGTATCGTTTATGCATAATTCGCTTTGAACTCTGCCAAAATTTAGCCGTGCCTAAGAGGTTAATCCTTTCCATTATAGTATACATGATGGGTTTTGTGGTAATGGTTGACATAGATTTTAGTATATACGTAAGAATGGTAAATGAAGAACATTCATTTATTAGCATAAAAGGTCGGTCCTGGAAGACAGCATACTCATTTAGTCATCAGAGTTAGTGAACAGTCAGTCAGAGAGTAGTCATCAGGTCAGTGTGTGAGGAAATAATTATTCAGCCAGAAAAAGCCAGTCAGAAGAAAAATTCCTACACATATATTATATATATCCCAAAATTTGGTAATATGGTAATATTATGCTAGTTTGGTAATATATATTGATATGAAAAATGAATTATGTCTTTGAGAAAGAACGAACGCTACGTGAAAGAACAACGCGTCTTCATTGTTAAGCAATATTTACAATTTCTAATTAAAACCCTGTCAATTTATTTTCTATAAAAATTACCAAATTTTGGGACACCCTATAAAAGCACGACGAATAAGTAAACGAAATTTCGCATAAATCCGCGTCACAAATTAACAATTACCAAGTACGAGTTAATTACCAGTCTTGTCCAATTATTATTTAACCTAATTATCTCAGATTCATCGCGTAATGTCTCAATTTTAGCCAACTTATCATAGAAACAGCGAATCACAAGGGACGCCATAATAGAATAGGAAAGGCGTGGTAAATTCGAAATATGATACAGAAATATAATACAGGATACAAAATATCCCAGATTCAGCGTGTAATATCTCAATTTCAACCGACCTATCGTATAGCATCAGCGAATCACAAGGGACTCCTTAATAGAATGGGAAAGGCGCGGTAAATTCGAAATATAGCACAGAAATGTAATACAGGGTAGAAAATAATAGGGAATTCGAAATACAATAGAAAAATACTCACTTTGTAGACAGTCGGCGTTGAGCAGGTCCTTGCACTTCTCGTGGCACTTGACACCGCACTCGGTACACCGCACACCCTGTCGAGCGATACCCCAGAGGAGACCCTCGCACTCGTAGCAGTAGGTCGGCGAGGTCGCGGTCCAGGTGACGAACTTGTGTGGCGTGGTCGAGGAGATCGGGTAGATCATCGCTTGCAGCGTTTTCTTGTACACGTGCATCTTCTGCGGGTGCAGCAGCGTTGCATAGAGAGGTTAGAACGGGTCCGTCGAGGATTCGTGGCGGGGGTAGGTTGGGTACTCTTTTGTCATAGGGACCATTCCATCCACCTCGACTCCATCGCTCGTTTCACGAATCGGTGATGATTTTCCAAACTAACTAGTATCGCTTTATTTTCCAGTCTCCTAAATAACTCTCTTTCAAAATTTTCTTTGAACAATTACCTTTAGATATCACGTTACATATTCATTGGAAATTATTATTATAATAAAAATTCGTGAAAAATTCGGACGACGATAGCTATTTGCTTCTTGTCTTCGTTATTCGCGAATAATTTATCACAAATTTGCAGAATTTTACAGCGTTCATAGGAAGCTTGTTTATCGCCTCGCAAGGTCTCCATCTGACAGAGAAACAGGTAAAGCACAAGATGATATAATAGAGGAATTTGGTGTCACGAAAGATCCAAGTGGGCTGAACTTACTCGACTGACCTAGTCTTTGATGAAACTGGTGATCTATAGTACTATCACTATGATTTAGGCACTCTATCAATGATCAAGAGAGTATGAAAGCAGTTACACTATCTTGGCAGTGGTGGATTCGCAGCGACGATAGAGAGGCAATAATAATACACAATTCAATCGAAAATCCCATATACAGGGTGGACAATGTGACCACTTCGATCATCCCATTCCAATAATTTGCTTACTCGAAAAATTATTTCAACACGTCGAGTGATGTGGCGCCAATTTTGCTATATTTCCGCTCAGACTGCAGCGAGTGGGCACTAGATGCCGAGCAATCAAGTATACTGAAGAGTATGAACAGAAGATTACTTTGTTTCACTCTGTCGTTTGGACTGAGAGAATGGTGCCAATGCACAAATATACAAATTATAAACAGAAGATAATGGGCTGGGGAATGCCAGAAAGGCATAAAGGCGATCACCAAGAGACGATCAGTAGAGAAATAGCCACGGAAGTGTCAAGATTTACTTCAGCAGAGGGAATTTAGATGTTACGATGTATTAATTGTCATTAATAACATAACCCTTGACAATGCACCGATGTCGACAAAACGAAAAGTTTGCTGTCAGTCCCCAGGGTCTGATGCAGCACTCAACGTGTTAATCAGCTTAACCCTTTGACTGCCACGCCGAAATCATATGTTTCTCTGAGGGCGTCACGGGAGTACACCGCTAGATGCAAGATTTGTTCTAATATTTTTCTGACGTTCCAATAAAAATTTTTAACTGTTCAATAGGGCACTTTCTATTTCAAAGTATCTTCTAATTAGTGGTTGTATTCAAAATGCACTAACTGTCAATTTTCATTCAACTATTACAGTTGCACTATACAAGTAGCTCAATCACTCTGGTTACCAATGACCACCATGGCGTCACGGGAAAAACCCTGGTCGGTCATACATGACTATACGTGACTATATATGACTATACGTAGCAGTCAAAGCTTGAAAACGAACATCCTCGAAGTGGTCCACCCTGTACACACAACTGAGAAGAATTTCACATTTGCGACCATTTTCCAAGGTCAGTGTATAAATCCCACTTTACAAAAGAATTTTTCTCCAATTAAAAGACGTGCATATGGTTAATTCATCCTAGCAGACACATCTCGTAAGCAAAATCTACCACTGCAGCCGTGAGACGCGCGGATCTAACCTATACCCGCCTGAATATCCTCTTCATTCCTTCGTGACACGCGAACCAGCCGATTCGTCTCTCGTTTGAAATTAAAATTCCCGAGAAGATCGAGAAATCCGCTTCATCCCCTGGCACCGATTCGTTGGAGCAGAGTCGAGGTGTCAGCATTCGCGCGTGACCAATCAGCGAGGATCCCAGACCCGGTTCGAAGCGTTCTACCAGCCCCCTGTACCTCGCATGATCACGGGGGATCGAGGGAAAAATCATGGAGGTATGCAAAAGTCTGAAATTTTCCACTGGTACCTTCGAACCGCGTCTGTCTACCTCGCTATCCCGATCACGTCCTATTGCTCTTCCTATTGTTCATCCTATCGTGGACTCACCTCATGAAACTCTTGCTTTGTCCCATGCAAGATCAAAGGTACTCACTCTATATATGCGTTCTGTCACGCTGTCATTCATACAAACGATACGCTAGCGCTCGTACATAATTACGCGGACAATCATAACGTGCCAGAGGGAATTGGTGCCTGGCGAGACCTAATTACATACGCAATCCTGTGTACACAGATTAAACAGAGGGTGGAGGATTTCTGAAGGTGGTGGCTTGGTCGTTCGGGCTGGCGAGACTCGCAAGGATCCCCATTCGAACAGCCATCCCTGCGAGTCCCTCTAACGTGGGGGGTGGCTAACGTGGCGCAAGCCGAATTGGATGGTCACTCTTTAACTGTTGCACGCGCGTGTTTGCGCTGCCTGTGAACGTTACATACGGGTTTCTCTACGTATGTCTGTGTGTGCGAAATCGTGGATAGATAGTCAAGAGAGTTCGTTTTATTTCTGTGGCAAGATTGCAGAGTCGTCTCTTGATCCGTTGGGTGGGTACCAGACCGATCGTTACCAGAGTTCTCTGTACCCTTGTATTAACACGTACACACGTGCTTCTATTCCTGATGTTGGAGCAACTAATTTATTTTACAATTCAGGAGCGTAAGAGTTATTTAAACACCCGTCAAGGGTGCGTATGGAGATACTATTAATTCATCTTTGTTTTGTATGTGCATTGGTGCAGCAGAAAGGCTTTTAACCGAGATTGCAGGTGTTATGTTATACTCGTTGATTTTTCTTTTTATTTTCTGACTTTTCACTTTGCAATCGAGGAATTGGAAATTTAATTTCTATAAAAAAGAATTGTATAGTGATTTTACAGTCAATTTTGTCAACAATTAAACGTAATATAACTGATTCACTGTTTTATATTTTGAACTTGGAAAGACTGTTTTGAAAATCTGTCATTGTGTCCTGTGAATACAAAATATTCCAACCAGTTGTCATACGAATGCAACAAAACTGAACCTATAAGGAAGGAACATAACGCAAAATCTGACACAGCTCTGATGGACCAATTATTATAGACTGTTTTGAAAATCTGTCATTGTGTCCTGTGAATACAAAATATTCCAACCAGTTGTCATACAAATGCAACGAAACTGAACCTATAAGGAAGGAACATAACGCAAACTCTGACACAGCTCTGATGGACCAATTATTAAGAACAGTATCAACGAATATCAACGAGTCTCTACTATTAGATAATTATTAGTATTACTCATTAGAAAATTTAGTACCAATTAAAATAACAATATTACTAACCCTTTGCGATTGGCAGATTTCAGCAGAGCAAGTTTAGCATTTCGCGGTAACTTTTCTATACAGGATTTAAAGTTAATATATGGATATTAAAACGCATAGAATTTGCGTTTAATACTGCTCATAATATGGAAATATACCAAATTTTTAATTTCTCTAATTTTCTGTAGTTTTCGACTTGCGAATGTCCCTGCCGAGGGGACATCGACAGCAAAGAATTAATGCTATAAGCCTCCATTAACTTCGTAGAGAACGTTAAAATGCACAGAAGACAATAGATAAGAAGATACCAATGAACTCTAGCTCACAAAGAGCTGAAATTTTCGAAAATCCTTTTAAAAAATCCATCCACGATTATTCTCTTTTCAGATATGTCTCTAACTCGTCCATTTCCTCTGCATAATTCTCCTTTAAGGATCTGTCTTTGACATCAATAAATCAGGAAAAGTGTGGAATATCGTCAAAGAGAATGACACCGAAGTGGTAAGAATAAAAGAAACAGCGGAAAGTTCCGGACCTGCATTTCCCAGCGCCGTTTCCATTTGACGTGCACAGGCAGCGCGTCGGAGTCCACGCGATAGTCAAAGTGGATCGCTACAAGGAGCCATAGGTTACGGGATCTATTTCTTTCGTGTCTCCGGAGGTAAACGGGCGCGAGGAGATCCCTCGTCCCCGTTCTTCTCTGTTCGATTTTTATCTTTCTCTCGTATCGACACCTCGAAAGGACTTCCTGTCGCATGATCGACGAACGGAACATTATTGGGACATTTCTCCCAGGGAAAACAGTACTGTTCCTATCCTTGCCTCGATTCGATGGCCCTTCTTCAACGGGCCTCGAAAACCTCTGAAAGAGCGACAGATAGAGAAAGAGAGTGAAAGAGAAAGAGAGAAAGAGGGTGGCACGTTTTCTAGATGTCGTACTATTGGAACGCTCTGCAAGGGGTGTAAAAGCATCGATCCGCTAAAAAGCACTATAAGGGTGACGTCGTGGGTTCAGGATGTTCCCCATTCTTCTTTCGCATAGCAATTTCAAACCGAACGATGTATTTGGAAAAGTTAATAGTATGCAACCCTGTGAAAAATTCATTTTTCACTTAAATCGGTACTCATGCTCCTGCTTTATTAATTGCTGATAATCCACGATCTCGTGTACTTGACTACCTTTCCGTTGACAGAGATAGAAATATGACTGAGGTTATCGAAAAATAAATCGAAGAATACAAAGAGTTAGGTTAGGTTAAGTTAGGTTAGGTTAGCATGACACTGCTTCGAAAATCGCGATACGACGAAATTCTACGAAGTAATTATACCGAATGAGTGGTACGAAATATAAAATAGATTAGAATGATATTTTTAACGTTATCATTGGAATATTACAGAGACGTTATGGAGTTCGATGATCAGTGCCCGACGATTATACCCGTAACGCGTGAAACACGGGGAACATCCGACACCCATGAGCAGGAATCGGAGTATCCTAGCTCTATCCTAATTGTACTCGGTTCGCATGACCACTGTAGCATCTCATATCCGCGGATACCTACACGTGACCCACATACATACACACATCGCGATCGTACCGCACGTTTCGACCGCTAGAGGCGCTCACGTTTGGCAATGCTCGCGACGAGTGTGTACAAATACTTATTATGCAGATATGCGTATTCGATACGTTCACCCTAGCCGCTAAAGAGAGACAGAGACAGAGAGAGAAAGAAAGAGAGAAAGAAAGATAGTAGAGAGAACGACTCGTCTAAGTAGGTTCGCTACGAACGTTGCTTTTCTCAGTATCACAGAATTCTCAGTGTTCCAGAGAGAGAGAGAGAAAGAGAAAGAAAGAGAGAGAAGAAGAAGAAGAAGTAGAAAAGCAAAGAAAGAGAGTACAGAAAGAAAGAAAAGAAAGGAAGAAAGAAAGAAAAAGAGAGACAGACAGGTTGGGCCACACTTACGTGAAAGAAAATAGCGCGGAAATGAGGATAAAATGCAGCACAGTTCATGTGAAAAGAAAAAAAGTTATCAGAGGTTATAGTTCAGCTGCACGGGCGAGCCGTCGCTGGGTAACGCGTGGATGCATGTGTGCTCGTCTCGCTTATCTCTTAAATCTTACAATGACGCGTGCCTGGCTACGTGTGTACACACGTTACACCGATAACCACGAATCTTGTTTCCAATTTTATTTCGAATTCTAACCTAGACTACGTCGCGCCGCGTTAGGCGAAACAAGACTCTCTACGCCACTGGCAATATGGCGGCGCCCCGAGTCGCTGCAACCGCCATGTCGAGCCTTCGCTCCTTTTAACCCCTTGGCTACTATGGGCGCCTACAGGCGCTTAGAAATTTTGCGTTTGTAACACGGAGGACGCCTATAGGCGATTAGAAATTTTGTATTCGTGGCACGGAGGACGATTATGGGCGCTTGGAAATTTTGCGTCTGTGACACGGAGGGCGCCTATAGGCGCTCGGCGTAGTTCAGCTTTCTGACACGGAGGGCGCTCGTTTTCACAAAAATGGCGCACGTCGTATCTCAATTTCTGCTGTACAGTACGATCGCTACGGATCAAAATCTGCCGTAGACAAGGGGTTAAAATTCTGTCACCCGATAAAACGTCTCCTTCACCTTTTCTCACGCCTTTTTCCCCCCTTTTTCCCAGCTTCCTTGCTGGCTTCTTTTTTTTTACGACGCTCAAACGATCAACAATTCGGACGTTTCTTCGACCGATGAAGACGCTTCTCCTCTGTTTCTTGTGATAATCGTGTTTTTTAAATAAATTTTTAGAGAATTCATTTTATAACCTCGAGCCAAGGTCGTGGAAAGTTTATTTCTCCGAAATTGAGAGTTCTACGAGATTATTTAGAGATATTTAGGATGCTTGGTGCCTCTGTCTGGTTGCTCTCAGCGTCTTCAGCGATTGAGAAAATGGCAACGTTTGCGCAGATTGTTTCCTAATAATGTTGTTTAGATAGAGGGATAGAGAGGTTGTTTCTGGGAAATTCGAAATTTCAGGCAGATTTTCAGGACGTGTCTCATTTTCATTACGGGCGAAACGATTCACGGTTTATTCGCACTGGTTCACGCCGGGAGTAAAACCGATATTACTCGCGGTTTAAAGCGGATCCGCTGTGCCTGGTTATCGGGGTTAATGCAGTCTGCTTTCAAATTTGCGCCCGAATCACGGACGACCATTTTGAGAACGCCTTTCCGAAGCATGGGAACGGCCGATGAAAGGGGGATATCAAAAATTGGAGATGGAAAAGTGCAGCCGTGTCTTTAGTCCCGTTGTTTCTAGTCTACTGGGTCGATGGGTGAACATCGAAATTCAAAAGGTCTGCCAATGTTCTCTGACACTCCGGCTTTCGCAAATTTTATAGGAACTCACCTACGAACCTTGTAAAATTAATCGCATCGAACGATGGGACTCGGTATTTGAAAATTGGACAAACAAGAATTGGAAAATTAAATATTTTAAATAAAAATAATTCAACTCGTAGGAGGATGAATATGTTGGTAATTATGAAACACGTGGGTTCATTTATATGTATCGTGTTCCAAAATATTCAATGATAAATTCTTCAAATGTATCATAAATTAAAAGATTAATTAGAAAATGCTATGAAAATAGGCAATTTACTGATTTATCTTCTTGGAAATTTACTAAATATAATTTTATTTAATTTTGATACGAGAAAAAAGAAATTACGAGTGTTAAATTCTTCAAATGTATCATAAATTAAAAAATTAATTACGAAAAGCTACGAAAATAGGCAATCTACTGATTTATCTTCTTAGAAATTTACTAAACATAATTTTATTTAATTTCAATACGAAAAGGAATGAATGTATCGATAATTACGAAAGTAGCCTAAGTCATATATATTTTGTTTCAAAATATTCAATGATAAATTCTTCGAATATGTCATAAATTAAAAAATTAATTACGAAAAGCTACGAAAATAGGCAATCTACTGATTTATCTTCCTGGAAATTTACTAAAGATAATTTTATTTAATTTCGATACGAGAAAAAAGAAATGACGAAATGAGTGTTAAATTCTTCAAATATATCATAAATTAAAAAATTATATACGAGAAAGTCAATTTATTGACTTATTTTCTTAATAATTGCATTCTACTAAAAATAATTTAATTTAATTTCAACCAGAGTAAAAAGAAATGACGAGTATTAAATTTTTCAAATGTATCATAAATTACAAAATTACATACGAAAAAATCAATTTATTGACCTATTTTCTTAGTATTCCACTAAAAATAATTTCACTAGAAAGAAATCAATCTACAAATATATCATGAATTAAAATATTAATTACGGTAAAGCAACAAGCAAAAATTAATCTACCAATTTACCTCAGTATTTCATTAAAAATAATATAATTTAATTTCGATATAAATAATTTCTCCCGAATTTCTCAGTTCGACCAGTTTCATAATGACCAGTATAATTAAAACTGCAAACCATCTAAAATATTTTCGCGACAGGAGAAATGCAGAAACGAGGAAGAAATTAAGATTTTCCCAGAATTTTCCAACCTTGGTTCCCGACTTATCAGCAAGGTCCGCGAGGGAAGGTTCCTATCTGAACGCGAACTCGTGCCAGCGTATCTGCAACGGTGCTGGAAACGTTAAGAAACAATCTGCGCATTTAAACGGGCCATAGCCTGCATTTACCAGGTTCCTCCGCGTTATCTGAATTTCACGACCTTCGACGAAGCGTCACGATTGCCTATCGTACTCACGCGATCTTCCAATCACTGAGGACTGCCTGTCCTCCGTGTTTTACGACACCTAGCGAAATCGACACGGTCGCGTTCCTCAGCGTCCCGTCCGGCTATCTCGCGGATAGAAGTTTGACTATCAAGATTCGCCTAACGAGCCTCGTTCGCGGATATTAAAATTCCCCATCGGAGGAAGCGTCCCTTCGATATCAATTCATCGCCTCAGCCCTCGACTTCTGCACGGCAAACGCTCTACACCCATTCCAGCAACGCGAGTACTGAGATTCGCTGCAGTACCCCTCTTCGTTGCGATGCCGATTTATCTTTCGTCTCGACGTGACCGTGAAAATCGCAAGATTTTTGACGCATTTTATTAACCCATTTGCATCATGGCTCTACTTAAGGTGCCGTGTTCAGGCATCAGCCACGTTCAACTGACGACTAGCTCGTATCACCGCGCGCGTATCAGCACCTACTCGTAATGGCAGTTAAAAGGATTTTCACGACAAAAGTAAAACTTGTTAAGAATATAATGAACCGATGTAGACGAGATGCTCGCAAAAGGGAGCAAACGTGATCTGTGGCATATGAAGAATATTCAGCAACTGGTAATGGAAAAAGTCAGCTCGCGGATTATTCCGCGCTCGGTGATAGACGACAGTCGTAGTTCGCGGAATATTCCGCGCTCAGTGATAGGCGACAGTCGTGGCTCGCGAATTATTCCGCGCTCAGTGATAGGCGACAGTCATAGCTCGCGGATTATTCCGCGCTCAGTGATAGACGACATTAGTATAGTTCGCGGAATATTCCGCGCTCGGTGATAGACGACAGTAGTATAGCTCGCAGAATATTCCGCGCTCGGTGATAGACGACAGTGGTGGCTCGCGGATTATTCCGCGCTCGGTGACAGACGACAGTCATAGCTCGCGGAATATTCCGCGCCCGGTGATAGACGACAGTAGTATAGCTCGCGGAATATTCCGCGCTCGGTGATAGACGACAGTGGTGGCTCGCGAATTATTCCGCGCTCGGTGACAGACGACAGTCATAGCTCGCGGATTATTCCGCGCTCGGTGATAGACGACAGTAGTATAGCTCGCAGAATATTCCGCGCTCGGTGATTAGCGACAGTGGTGGCTCGCGGATTATTCCGCGCTCGGTGACAGACGACAGTCATAGCTCGCGGATTATTCCGCGCTCGGTGATAGTCGACAGTCGTATAGCTCGCGGATTATTCCGCGCTCGGTGATAGACGACAGTCGTATAGCTCGCGGAATATTCCGCGCTCGGATGCAAATGGGTTAATTAATCTTTAACGCATTCTATTGATCAGTCTTTAACGCGTTCAGAAACCGTCCAGTATCGTGACAACTGGGAAATTCTCAGTTGCGACTGGTCTGAATCTGGCTGAGGATCACGCGATCGTTTTTCACGCGAAGGATGATTCGTTGACAGATCGCTGATCATATACCGCTCGAATAGGCAACGCGATAGATGACGATGATGCCTGTGAAAGGATAATGGTTAAAGGACGAATTCTTACCAGCTCCTCGTCGTTCAGCGTGGCCCTGGGCACCGCGGATGACAGCAGACCTGGCGTGTTCCTCTTGGTCGCCGCCATTGTCTGAGAAAAGATAGAAATTAATGCTCATCTGATCCAACCACAATGCCTTTCGGCCTTCTATCTTGTAGACAGAGATAGAGAGCAGGAAGAGAGAAAACTGAAGAGAAAGAAGGTGAAGATGAAGAAGAATGAAGAGATGGTGAAGAAAGATGAGAACGAACGAGAAGAGTCACCGAGGGGAATGAGAAACGTGGATTTACAAAATGGACTGACAGAAATCATAGAAAAGATATTTACAAAAAAAAGAAACAAAAAGAATACGATTTTATGTATTTCTTTGGGAATAATCAGCTAGTAAGTAACGAAGAAGTGTGATGGATGGAGAAAATTAATAGTTGCAGAGTAAAATCGAGAATTACATTTGGCATGGAGCTTCTGACACGGTATTACGAGTGTGACGCAATGACAGGAATTCGAAGAGTCGAAATTTTGACAGAATTTAGCGAGATCATGCCAAATGTAGTCACTTGCGTTATTTACAAATGTTATTTACAGTTCACGATAAGATGTGTCTTATTTACATTGGCTCCCTTCAAAGCCGTGCTCTCTGCATTTTGTTGCGGTTACAGAGCGAGCTTCTCGATGTCTGATACCCTTGTCCCAGGTTAGGGTCTGTTGCAAAATTGATCAGCCAGGGAGAAGGTGCGTCTCGAGTAGAACAAGGTGGAAAATCGCATTAAGAAACCCGTTAGCCAGAACGAATCAGTCGATCGGGCATTACCGACTTACAGAACGTTCGACTCGTTAATTCCGAATAACAAATATTTCACTCGAAAAGCAATTCGAAGGGCTAATATTCGATCAATATCGCAGTATTTACCGAACAAACTCGATAAGGTTGCATTTGGATCGTCGGGATCGAGAAGCTCTCTGCTTCCAAACGAATTTTCAATTCGTCCGATTGAAAAATCAAGAGAAGATGTAACACGTATTATCGTTCGCTCAAAAATACACATAGAGAAGTTAGCTGAATGAAATCGGTGCCGAAGATCGAGAAACGAATATTGAAAATTATCCGAGAAAAAGAAAAGGGAAATATGACGAGACGAAAATCGAGAAAAGAATATTCGAAATTGAACAAGAAATAAAGGAAACGAGAAAAGAAGAGAGAGAAGAAAATAGAACGAGATGCGATGAAAACAAGATGGAGGATGAATGTAAGTATGCAAGAAAAGGTACGATACTTATGCGAGTATGTATGTAATTCTGTTAGAGAGAAGAAGATAAAGGAAAAATTAAAAAAGGAAGAAAAAGTATCTTAATAAAAATAGATACGAGAGACTGTGATGAAACTATAGCAAAACAAAATGGCGAACGAGATGAAAGAAAAAACTATATGGGAATTGAAAAATTTAAAATTATCTGAGAAAAAGGGAGGAAAATTTTCGCGATGAAGAGAGGTGTGAGAAAATATATAACCGTAAGAAGTATATAAGAGATAATTATGCGAATATATAAACAAGTATGTAACAAGGAAAAGAGGAAAAACAAGTATTCGAACTAACCTAAAAAGAGAAATGCAAAATATCCTGTTGTAGACACGAGAAACCATGATGAAATCATAAAGCAACAAAATGGCGGGTGATTGAAAGAAGTATATAAGAAGATATGCAAATATGTATGTATGTCAGAAGAAATAAGGAAAAATGAATATTCAAACTAACCTAAAAAAAGAAACACAAAATATCCTATTAAAGATACGAGAAACTATGATGAAACCATAAAGGAACAAAATGGCGGGTGATTAAAAGAAGTATATAAGAAGATATGCAAATATGTATATACGTAAGAAGAAATAAGGAAAAATGAATATTCAAACTAACCTAAAAAAAGAAACATAAAGTAGCCTAACGAAGAAAGACAGGGGAAACTATGACGAAACCATGAAGGAATAAAATGGCGGGTGGTTGAAAGAAGTATATAAGAAGATATGCAAATATGTATGTATGTCAGAAGAGATAAGGAAAAATGAATATTCAAACTAACCTAAAAAAAGAAACACAAAATATCCTATTAAAGATACGAGAAACTATGATGAAACCATAAAGGAACAAAATGGCGGGTGATTAAAAGAAGTATATAAGAAGATATGCAAATATGTATATACGTAAGAAGAAATAAGGAAAAATGAATATTCAAACTAACCTAAAAAAAGAAACATAAAGTAGCCTAACGAAGAAAGACAGGGGAAACTATGACGAAACCATGAAGGAATAAAATGGCGGGTGGTTGAAAGAAGTATATAAGAAGATATGCAAATATGTATGTATGTCAGAAGAGATAAGGAAAAATGAATATTCAAACTAACCTAAAAAAAGAAACACAAAATATCCTATTAAAGATACGAGAAACTATGATGAAACCATAAAGGAACAAAATGGCGGGTGATTAAAAGAAGTATATAAGAAGATATGCAAATATGCATGTATGTCAGAAGGAAGAAAGAAAAACTGAATATTGAAAATAACCTAAAAGAAGAAACATACAGTATCCTAATACAGATACGAGAAATTATGATGAAACCATAAAGGAACAAAATGGTGGGTGTTTGAAAGAAGTATACAAGAAGATACTTATGCGAATATGTATGTATGTAAGAAGAAACCGAGGTGAGTAAAAATAGAGTAACGAAGAGAGATATAAATGGAGGTCGTAACAATGGTGAAAGGTAGAGCGAGATAGAGGTGGTGAATCTCTAATCCAATTAGCTTATGGCGCCTGTTAGGTGTGGCGCGCGGTAGGATTTGCGGCTGGCTAGATTTCAATTAAGATATTATGCACGGGACCCCGTGCTCGTTGCATGCGCTACTGTCATGTCTCCATGGACAGACGCTAATTCGGAGCCAACTAATTTCGCGCGTCACCTAGGCTCGCTGTCCACGGACTCTATCGGCTTTTCTACTTTCTCAAAAGCGTGTTCGTGGTGTGTATATACAAGCGTTCACGCACGGGGCACCGTGGACTCCTCTATCCTTTCACCTTTTCCATGTACACACATCGACGTATATATAAATATATCTCGCGAATTTTACAGTTTCGAAATTATGCGGTCGCCGCAATCCTGCAATTAGATCTTCCTTGCTTCGTCTAGCATACTTGTCTGAAGAACCGCAGAAGACTCGTGGTACCGTTCTCAGACATGTACATTCGTTTCTCCTATATTTTTCCGTACATTCGTTCTCGTTTAGAGAAAGATTCTTCCGTTTCTTTACTAACCTAAAAAAAGAAACACAAAATATCCTATTAAAGATACGAGAAACTATGATGAAACCATAAAGGAACAAAATGGCGGGTGATTAAAAGAAGTATATAAGAAGATATGCAAATATGTATATACGTAAGAAGAAATAAGGAAAAATGAATATTCAAACTAACCTAAAAAAAGAAACATAAAGTAGCCTAACGAAGAAAGACAGGGGAAACTATGACGAAACCATGAAGGAATAAAATGGCGGGTGGTTGAAAGAAGTATATAAGAAGATATGCAAATATGTATGTATGTCAGAAGAGATAAGGAAAAATGAATATTCAAACTAACCTAAAAAAAGAAACACAAAATATCCTATTAAAGATACGAGAAACTATGATGAAACCATAAAGGAACAAAATGGCGGGTGATTAAAAGAAGTATATAAGAAGATATGCAAATATGTATATACGTAAGAAGAAATAAGGAAAAATGAATATTCAAACTAACCTAAAAAAAGAAACATAAAGTAGCCTAACGAAGAAAGACAGGGGAAACTATGACGAAACCATGAAGGAATAAAATGGCGGGTGGTTGAAAGAAGTATATAAGAAGATATGCAAATATGTATGTATGTCAGAAGAGATAAGGAAAAATGAATATTCAAACTAACCTAAAAAAAGAAACACAAAATATCCTATTAAAGATACGAGAAACTATGATGAAACCATAAAGGAACAAAATGGCGGGTGATTAAAAGAAGTATATAAGAAGATATGCAAATATGTATATACGTAAGAAGAAATAAGGAAAAATGAATATTCAAACTAACCTAAAAAAAGAAACATAAAGTAGCCTAACGAAGAAAGACAGGGGAAACTATGACGAAACCATGAAGGAATAAAATGGCGGGTGGTTGAAAGAAGTATATAAGAAGATATGCAAATATGTATGTATGTCAGAAGAGATAAGGAAAAATGAATATTCAAACTAACCTAAAAAAAGAAACACAAAATATCCTATTAAAGATACGAGAAACTATGATGAAACCATAAAGGAACAAAATGGCGGGTGATTAAAAGAAGTATATAAGAAGATATGCAAATATGCATGTATGTCAGAAGGAAGAAAGAAAAACTGAATATTGAAAATAACCTAAAAGAAGAAACATACAGTATCCTAATACAGATACGAGAAATTATGATGAAACCATAAAGGAACAAAATGGTGGGTGTTTGAAAGAAGTATACAAGAAGATACTTATGCGAATATGTATGTATGTAAGAAGAAACCGAGGTGAGTAAAAATAGAGTAACGAAGAGAGATATAAATGGAGGTCGTAACAATGGTGAAAGGTAGAGCGAGATAGAGGTGGTGAATCTCTAATCCAATTAGCTTATGGCGCCTGTTAGGTGTGGCGCGCGGTAGGATTTGCGGCTGGCTAGATTTCAATTAAGATATTATGCACGGGACCCCGTGCTCGTTGCATGCGCTACTGTCATGTCTCCATGGACAGACGCTAATTCGGAGCCAACTAATTTCGCGCGTCACCTAGGCTCGCTGTCCACGGACTCTATCGGCTTTTCTACTTTCTCAAAAGCGTGTTCGTGGTGTGTATATACAAGCGTTCACGCACGGGGCACCGTGGACTCCTCTATCCTTTCACCTTTTCCATGTACACACATCGACGTATATATAAATATATCTCGCGAATTTTACAGTTTCGAAATTATGCGGTCGCCGCAATCCTGCAATTAGATCTTCCTTGCTTCGTCTAGCATACTTGTCTGAAGAACCGCAGAAGACTCGTGGTACCGTTCTCAGACATGTACATTCGTTTCTCCTATATTTTTCCGTACATTCGTTCTCGTTTAGAGAAAGATTCTTCCGTTTCTTTTTTCGAGGACGTAAAGCACTCGGGTACCTTTGCTGTCCCTTTCTCGCTTCGTCGAACGAAGAAACATCGTTCGGGAGAAACAGTGAGAACCAGAGAGAAAGGAAGAGCAGGAGGAAGTGTTTACAGGCGAGATTCGCAACCATAGGTCGAATCTGTGGTTACTCGACTATGACTATAATCACAAACGTGTCGTGTATCGTACCTACGAACTACGGTATCTGCTCTACTCGTTCATGCGCTATGCGTTCATCGTGACGAACATTCTTATGCGTGCGGGTACACCCAGAAGATTGAAATACCAAATGAAACCACGAGCAGATGCGTCCTCTCTCGGATGACCAAATTCTCAAATTCTGACGACATAACCGTATAACACGATGACAGAAGGTAGCAAAAAGCATAGGAGGAAAAGATATAGAATAAATGTGACAAAAATTTGGTCTTCCGAGCGAGATCACGGACAAAGATCTACATATTTAATGCAATGACAGAACAGATCCGAATGCTCAAGCGATTGGCGAGAAAAATAAAATGGCGAACGATTAAAAGTCTCCGCGAGCAACGCTTCTTCTCCGGAGCAGCAAGCGCGGTACCATTCCCGTTAATTACCGCCATTTCTCGTGCTCCGCGGGACGACAAGATGGCGGATAATTATGTCGCGACACGCGACACCGGTGTAGAAACGTAATTTTAATCCTTCGGTTAGAAAATAGCCTTAGTTCGCGAGAAGCTGCTCGTAATTAAGTTCGGCCGCCGCGCAGATGGCGCTGAGGGGCGTTGCTCGCGAGATGGCGCCAGAGACGCGTAATACGTAGGAGTCTCTAGATCAGAAGAAGACAAAGAGAGAGAAGGGTATGAAGAAGAGGAGAGCACGGGTGCGAACGAAAGAAAGATCCAGCGAAACGAAAAGGTGCGAGAAACGGTGGCAAGAGAGTGAGAGATACAGAAAGAGAGAGAGAGAGAGAGAGAGATATATTAAAGCATACAAGCTGAAGCATGCGCTACGTACGGCAAAACAAGCCTTTTTATTTAAACTTCGTTAAGGAGGCATTTAATTAGTACCTTCAAGACCTGGAGGTAGAGTTTTTGAGATTTTTTGAGAGGTTTTTTTCAGTGAGTGGTTTTGTTTTTTTCAGGTGTTCAGGTGGATACAACAACGGGCGCCACAGAGAACAAACAAAGAAAAATGGCATTATATGCCGGTTAGTACGTGTATCAGTTGCAGATTTCTAGATTTTTTTTCTTTTTTTCTTTTTTCTTTTCTTTTTAATGCCTCGTACATTACGGAAAACAGATACACTTAGAGATTAGAGGCACGAGAGGCATGGAACATATAATCGGCGCATCGATCGTCCACCGAGATAGGTAATAATCTTCCTGGCTAATGTGTCCAATCTATACCAACCATTCTGTTATCAAGTTTTACCAAATAAATATAACTTCGTGCCCAAGTAGAGCCTCACGGAATATTATTCCATCTCGTTGAACGCGAGAGTCTGAAATTGCTGGACCCAGGACTACCTAATCCGAACCCAGTCGACTACGTCTTCCCTCCCAAGTGGCAATTCATCTGCAAACACATCTCTGGATTCGCGTTTAAGCAACCAAGGGAACGTGGGATTACGGCTGAAAGAAGCGAAGCTTCGCTCCTGTCGGGATCCAGCAATTCCTCCACCCTCTCCATCGATCGCCTGGGCTCTCGTTTCCGGCACGACTCGGCGGGACAATGCACTTCTCGAACGCGGGGTTCCAAGGACCAAGGTCACGGTACACAACAACCAAGAGAAAAAAATTAGTCGATATCGAACATACAGGGGTCACAGACAGACGGGGCGAGACTTCTAAAGGGGGGTTTTGAAAAATCGAGGAAATTCGAGGAAATACTTTCGTCCTCCTCGAATCCCGCTCGTCCAGGGATATGTAAGTAATTTCACGGAAGTCCGTCCGTATCCATTGCACTAGACTTCACACAGAACACATACGATGGGTCGAGCGAAAATCGATGCTCTTCGTTAGCGGAAATACACGAGTCCGTTGATGCGCGAAGATCGGGAATCCGGAAGTCGCGGTTATCCGGAATTCTTCATATATCTTGGACCAGATATCTCATCGTTAATCATAACCAACGAGATCATATTTTTCAGAAGGTGTGTAGATTTAAGCCGAGGTCTCGTTGCCTGTGAGATCGTATATTAAAACCTCGTCTACTCAAGAATGGTAAAAATAATAGGCAAAATGGACGAGTTATAGTTGCAAAATAAAATATGAATAGGAATTATTAATATACCGTGGTGCAAATATTTTATTAAAAATTATACCCAGTAGTAGGACCGTATTTATCATAAGGTGTTAGAGCTACATTGAAGTTACATTATCTATGGGACCATATGTTAAAAGATATAGGAAATAGTTTCACTTCAACAATAATTTATTTATTTTTAAACATTGTGGAATTTTTGTAATATACTGTGGACCAAATATTTTATTATTAACTATACCTATTATCAGGATCATATTTGTCACAAGGTGTTAGAACCAAACTGAAGCTTCATTATCTATGGGACCATATGTTAAAATCTTACTCTCCACAAAAGATATAGGAAATAATTTCAATTGAGCAATAATTTATTAATTTTTTAACTTTATGGAATTTTTTGAATATGCTGTGGACCAAATATTTTATTACTAATCATACCTATTATCAGGACCATATTTATCATAAGGTGTTAGACTCAAACTGAAGTTTCATTGTCTATGGGACCATATGTTAAAACCTCACTCTTCATAATAGATATAGGTAGTAGTTTCAATTGAACAATAATTTATTTATTTTTAAACATTGTGGAATTTTTGTAATATACTGTGGACCAACAATTTTATTATTAACTATACCTATTATCAGGATCATATTTAACATAAGATGTTAGACCCAAACTGAAGTTTCATTATCTATGGGACCATATGTTAAAATGTTACTCTCCACAAAAGATATAGGAAATAATTTCAATTGAGCAATAATTTATTTATTTTTTAACATTATGGAACTTTTGAATATGCTGTGGACCAAATATTTTATTACTAATCATACCTATTATCAGGACCATATTTATCATAAGGTGTTAGAGCCAAGCTGAAGTCTCATGTCCATATCAAATGAAATTTGCAAAACAACGTTGGATCTTATCTTTATTATTAACGAATGCAAAATTTTCTGGACTCTTTTTATAGTGAGGATATGACGTTTAAATATTCACACTGTCCTTGGAGCATAAGAACCTGAAGCACGCAGTTGCATGGTTCGTGTAATCAATTATGGATGGTGTAAAGATAACTTTCCTCAAAGTCATCTTTTTTTAGAAACACTTAAGACCCAACGCCTTACTTGCACTTCAATATCATAAATCTCGATGAAATTTCAATTAAACGAGTCATTTATTCCATATTTTCTAGAAATGTAAAAATATTTCACGCTTTTTAATTAATTAATTATCTCTGCGTTTTTTTCGATTGAATAATAAACACGAAGGTAATTAAGCAGCTCGTGACAATGAATTAGAATTATGTTTATCACTTACAACTTCGAAGCTGCAATATTAATTCTAAGAATGTACACTTTAAACGCTTTCAGAGATTTAACTTCTGCCGAGATAACACGAAGAAATGCTCCGTTTGATTTATGTACACTCTTGAACCATGCAATTAGGTGCCTCTCATCAGATCTTTCCGCCATTCAGGAACAACAGAAAGTTTCAAACCAGCCCTTTTCAACGTTTAAATCCACGTGAAATCATCGTGCAATGCAGCAACCATTTACGTATTAAACTTCTCTCACTTCAAATTCGAGACTTCATCCGACCATAAATTTAATCTTTAGAATTTGAAAGTCGAGTTACGCTTACTCTGACATTTCGTTGCAACAGCTTGAGTAATACCAATTCCCTGGCATAATTTTATCAATGCTCTACCAATATTTTATACAAGGAATCTAAGCATTGCGGTTAGATTTATATATGTGCCCGTAATTATGAAAGTGGCACAAGCAGAAAACCAAAAAGAGAATAATTTATAATATAATAAGAAATTATTTTTATAAAGTAGTAAGGAACTTATAGTATTGATATAGGTAATATAGTATAGTATAGCTATATTTATAATATTAGGTATATTTATAATTCATTAAAAATTCGTAACTTCTAATATTTTAAAGAGAAGTATATATATAATTTAGGCCACCTCCATAATCACTGACTCATATATAGTATCTCAAAAAATACAAAATTTTTTCTTTTCAATTTCAATTATATTTTCTAAATTTTCTTATACCTTCTATGTTACATTTAATTTTACTCATGGTCATACTAGCAGTGCTTCATTAAAATTCCACTCTATTTAAACAAACCATTATAATTTGTATATAATATCTAAAAAAGTAACAAATTTTTCTTTCGAGTTTAAATTATCTTTTCCTTATATTTTCTATATTATATTCAGTTTTATATATATATATTATAAATACAACTGAATATTAAAATAATTAATATCACCCTTCATTCGATAGCATAATCTTGAAAAATGTTATCAGATTCCTATTACAGAATTCAATATCAACAACCGCTTTCAAACCTAACCTCAAATTACCAAATCAGAGTACTTATCGTCAGAATACTGCCCGAAAGGTGCTTAAATAACAAAAACAAACCCCAAACCTACTCCAGTGAATAAAAATCCATCTCAGTTGCGAGGAAATATCATAATTTCGCGAGGATTAAACCTGACCGAGTTAAACGCAGCTCGGGCGGCCATTTTGCAGAACGCCGCGCGCTACTTGCAACGTACGTATGTAACTAACGCTGTAACGAGCCGTTTTCCCCTCTTCCATTTGGATTTTTAATTCCCGACACGATCAGGCCGCGCTTTTAAGCGGCCCGTTTAAGTCTTCGCCGCGAAACACGCGAGCTTTGCAGCTCGGCAAGGGCGCGCGTGACGTAAACGAGCCCCGGTTTTTGAAATACGACGTCCTCACGAGTACGCAGGTAATTGGCGTTACATGCCAGGCCGCGTGTGTCCGACACAGAATTTCGTTCGAGCATTCCCCGGCAATTCGCGTGTTTTTTAGGCCACTGCGACGGAATCCGGCAGCCGAAGAATTTTTCTCCAATTTTCCCTTTTGTCCCAGCCACGGCGGGAGGAATCGGCTAAGAAACCGGGATATCCGCGTCGCGGCGATTGTTCAACGAAAATTTACCACTCCAGCAACTTCTGCCGAGCCTTCGAAATGTAGAATAAGTGGAGTGCACGAGAGATTTTTATTTCGTACGCGGGGAAACCAGGTCGAACGAATTACAGAATAAATTTCGATCCCCCAAGCAACTGGCCTTACGCGTGGACTTTGGTTTCCAATTTTTGACAGAATTTTTTTACCCACAGTCAGATTCGATTTACACTTTCGATTCGATCGAATGGGGGGGCACGGGTGCCGAATGAAATTAATTCGACGCTCCTGGACTGGACCCGGATTCGAATATCGGACACATTTGACATGTCGAATTTTTCAAGATGGCTCCCGCGAGTATGGGAACGAGAGGCTTGGATCGAAAGGGTCGAAGAATGTTTCTTTAATTCGGTTACTTGAAAGAAGGAAAGGGCTCGAAGCGAGGGGAAAACGTTTTCATTCTCGACGAACAAAGAACTCCGCGAGTTCTCCAGCGGAATTCTATTGTTGAAAAATATGGAGTACGCTTGACCCAAGAAAGCATTTACCGTTGACAGCGATATCTTTCGTTGGAAAATGCCATCTAAATTGCGTGCCTCTGAATTTCCTCGAACACTCGAGCTTCTGCCGCATTTGTTACCCGTGTTCCCGCAATGCGGATCGAATTTGTTGAAGACAACCAAGGTAATTTCGTTCAAACATGTTCTTTCCTATGTTTACGAACAACTGGTGTTGGTATTTTTATAGAAAAATATATGGGCGAATTGATCTGATGTACTATACCTATCACGTAATACCATGGATCACGATATTAATAATGAAACAAATATTTAATACTCAAAAATTACTATATCGCTGA